TACATTTACATCTTCAAATCATAAATAGAAACCTCATATCTTCACATAAAAATCCCACATAAAAATAAATAGAAAACAGGGATGAACCAAATACAGCTGTGATTTTATACATAGAAAAGATTTATGTATGTCAGAAAGAACACATGACCCCTATAAAGATTATTTAAAAGGGCTTAATCAAAATACACTTGGTAGTCTGTTTCCTTTAAAAATGCACACTAGGTAATTTTAATGGAGTTTCAAGAGATTCTGAAATTATTCAAGTAGGGAGCTGCGTCAGCATGCATAGACTGCAAAGGAACAGGTAAAGGTGTATTCCAGGCTGAAAGACACAGCGTTTTGGATATGGAGCCTTCTTCGGGTGTAAAGAAGCCTCCACAGCCCGAAGAAGCCAGAAGGAGGTTCTGCAGCCAAAATGTTGTGTCTCTTTGCTTTTACTTTCAGCATGAAATAAACATTTACCTTTGCATTCTGAAATTACATTTTGTACAACTAAAGCATTTTACTATAAATTCACTGTATAGTGATCTCTCTTTATGTTTTCAAAAATCCTGTTGTGTTGCTCGAGGAGATTGTCTAAATATATTTCAGATAATTAATTAATCTATGCAACTTTTGGTATTACAGTAAAATTACATTAAATAGTGTAATAAATGCCGTACCTTTTATGATGAACATGAAGGAAAACGCAACTGCCAAATTCCTGTCATCTGGAACAAAAGACAAGAATAGTTTATACTGTATAGGAATCTGAATATTCCTATTAAACTTAAAACTCATGCATTAAGTAGAATTATTTATTAACGAAGATTTTTGTTCGAATACAACATACTTTACTGATGCTACAGTACTAAGATTCTAATCGGCGATCCAAGGACTGTTTAAAAGAACCTGTTGCATCAACAGACTCCCAGAAGGGTTGGACTAACTCCCTGTCACAGCTTTTATATGGGCACATGGGCATAATTGGTCATCATGGCAAAATTTCTATTTTTGTAAGCTTCACTTGCACATGGCAAATTTTATTTCCTTTTATTACCAAATAGATTATATTGTCAGAAGAGCAGAATCAGATCCATCAACCCATGTGACTTTCACCATGAAAGTCATATTTATTTTTGAAACCCTTGATAAGTTCCAAGTTCTAGCTCATAAAACATTCTTCTGGAAAATTTATCTTCCAGATGGATTTGATACTGGCCAACAAATTGTTGATGCAGCAGAGTTGAACCACAGCCCTTGATATAAAAATGATCTCTTGACTATGTGTTAGCTGAAACACATTTACAAAAGTATGAAAGGTATGATTACTTCTTATTTTACTCATACAGTATATCTGAGATGATATGGATGACCCTTAAAGAAATATTGTACCACTGAAGCTTAACATAGAGCACGTAAAATGAAAAACTGTGTTACAATACATAAATACATTTGCCAAACTATTTGAAAATGAAAATTAAATCCTTTACTGCTTCAAATTAGAATATGTTGAAAAACTTTCTCTCTGTCCAATGGTTCATGAAGTTCTATCAAAACAACTTTAAACTTGAAATATAAAACAACACTGTTTTTGAAGAAATTATACCTAATGTTTTCCCATTATTTTTAACAGGTTTATTACTGTATATGTAATCCATAATAAATGGATTCTGAATTGTTGTGCACATTCACAGATGCAAAAGACTTTAGGCAGTGAAGACGTTAGCTTTGCTAAGTCTAAGAAAGCATACAAAACAGACAGACTTTCAGAAGGGTCGACTATATCATCTTCACCATCATTAACTTACAGATATGATTTATATCCTTAAAAAAGAGTGATAAATGGCTTAAAATAAGATGTGAGGATTTAAATGGCATTTTGATATTGCCTTAAACCAGTTCTACAAAATTAAAATGGACAGAAGTGTTAAACTACCACATCTTAACTTCTATTTTATTTCTCACTGAAACATTGAATTAAACATGTAGAGGCAAATCTAAAACTAAAACATTATGGATTAAATTCATTTAAAACTGTTAAAAATTATTTAATGATTTAAATACATTACAAAATGCTGATATTTTGAGACAGATCAAATCAATAATACTAAAGTACACAATTTTGTAATCTCAAACCTTTAAAATATCTTTGGGTTATGTCAAGAACGCACCACACATTGCAAAATATCCAGTATACAAATAAGAAAAACTCTTAAAAAAGAAAAAAGGAAATCAGAAATTTGATATCTTTAAAGTTTCTCCTAATAACATAATGTATTACAGGTGCCAACATGATACAATGAAGATTTGAAGTAACAACATTGTAACTTTTTGGAATATTGACAGTATAATTACTCTGTAACACTCTCAATTATTAAAAGCCAGTACTATAATAATAATTAATAATAATAATTCCTTACACTTATATAACGCTTTTCTGGACACTCTACTCAAAGCACTTTACAGGTAATGGGGACTCTCCACCACCACCAATGTGTAGCATCCACCTGGATGATGTGACAGCAGCCATAGTGTGCCAGAACGCTCACCATTTACAGTACCAGATATCAGTGGGAAGGAGAGCAAAGTGATGAAGCCAATTTATAGATGGGGATTATTAGGAGGCCATGATTGGTAAAGGCCAATGGGAAATTTGGCCAGGACGCCAGGGTTATACACCTACTCTTTTCTAGAAACGCCCTGGGATTTTTAATGACCACAGAGTCAGGACCTGGGTTTTACATCTCATCCGACGGACGGAAGGTAGGTTCTTGCATGCACAAAGACTAAGAGCTAATATCCACCTGTTTCTAAAGAAACATACCTAGCTACTGGTGACACAATCTTTTTTGTCCACATTTTTGTAAACAAGATAAAACAGAATTAAAACAGTATATACAGTACAACCACTTTCTTTTTAGTGCATGTTAAAGAATTCTTAAGCACATTCAGATTCCCCTTGTTGACTGTGTATTTTGACCTCACATTGAGACACAGAGGAACCAGGACAAGTTCTATTTAATCAATTTGGTTATCATCAAATACCTGATTAAAAACAGGGATGATTAGGTTCTTGAGTGGTTCAATCAGTTAAAGAATTTGAGCACAAGTTGAAATCTACAGTCTAGACTTCACTATTTGGAATCTGGGCAATGTCACTTACATGGAAAACAGGTTACAGTGGGGGAAACTCCAGGGTACTCTTGGCTTTCCTGCAAACAGTGAATTTTTTGATGCAGAGGGCTGCTGCCCTTCCAAAGACTTAAGTGAAAAAAACTAACTCTCCTGTGAGGTGCAGTGGAGCTCACAATGTGTCAAATGATGGACAATATTATTATTAAACTTTTATAACACTTTTCATAACATATCATTTGTAGGCACTTTGCAATAAAACAGCCAACAAAAGACATTGTTTGTGCAAATACAGTAAACAGAATTAAAATAGAAAGGAAAAGAAAAAAGTGAATTTTAAGAAAGTTTTTTTAGAAGGACACCAGAGCATATTAGGTCTGAACATTTCAATTTCTGCACATATAATTTTATTATAAATAAACCCTATTGTAAACCTTTAATAACTCCTTATTGAACTTACTAGAGCTTTCACACATTCTTAGCCTTTGAAAATGATCATCTTTAGGCACTTTGAAATAATGCAATCAACAAGAAAGCCAAGTGTATATATATATTATACAAGTAATAGGTTTATTCCATGCTGAAAAAAAGAAGAAAGAAAACACAACATTTTGGCCATGGAGCCTTCTTCAGGTGTGAGAAAGACAGGGCAGTAGGCAAAGGTAATGTAGCGGGAGAACAAAGGCTGGGGGAGAGGAGGAGTGAGAGGCGGGAGCAGGGGACAGAAAGAGAGGCCAAACAAGAGGTGTGAGGTCAGAATAGGTGTAGAGAGGTGTGAAATGAAACCTGAAATGGAGAAAATTTAGAAGAAAAGTAGTCTGTTGTTAAGAGAAGGAGGAAGGTGTGATCCTAGCTTTAGGATAATTTTGGTTTCTGATGTACAGTATGAGTTCGGAGAACACAGACGGAGAGATTAGAGTGGTCATGGCCATCAGAGGTGAAATGGGAATCTGTAACATCATCAAACACGATGATCTGCATAGAAATGAAAGCTGATGCGTTACCTATGAAGAATCTGTCCCAATAGTAACACAGATATTAGATAAAAGGAGCAAAGAAATGAGGCTTGTGGGGTACAAGGTGAGACCACATTTGGAAAGGAGGAAAAATGTTCAATTGGAAAACAAAAATATTTATAATTTACACAAAATATATATTTATAGCAGGACAAGAATTGTTAAAAGACTATCAAAAACTATTAACAATCTTTGGTAGATCATTATTAACCCCAATCTGTTGATATTATTCATATTATTTTTGATCTTTTCCATACTGATATTTAAAACAGGTTTAACACCACCAGAAGAGTTTATTAGATATACTCTTCTTGTTAACCATTAAAACACTAAAATAACAGGAAAATAAGAATCTACTTTTTACAATTCTCAAATAGTTACAATGATAACAACAATAATTACAATTACAATTTGAATTCTGTCATAATTATAGCAATTAAAGCTACAGTAAATGAATATATATGCAGACAGGTCTTCTAACAAAACAAAAGTCTTTTTAAGAAATGTATTAAAAATCAGTCTGCTAACACAAGAAAATGGAATAGGAGACACCCTGTTGTATAAAATAAGGTTTATTGGAAATAAGGTGTTCATTAGACTGCTGCAGAACGCAAAACTTGTTGAACATTGAGGACTACCAAATGCAATAAAAAATAACCCTTGGATGACACATTTCGCAAGGCCTGGCAGTGTTACAACATTAATGTACTATCATTATTACCACTTGAAAAACATGATCCAAATTTAAATGATGGGTAAAAATGATGATCTATATCTGATGAGAGGCTTGATCACAGTTACATGACCAAATACAGCAGAACCTTTTGCTGGTCTGGCAAAATGATCTCAATAAAAGCAGCTCCAGTGCACCACCCTGAGCACTGAGAAGCCTGTGACGTTCCAACCAGTGGTAAGCTGCTTCAGTTTCTACATTATTGGCAATAAATGCACATTACTGGATGCAAAACATTTCAGAAAATACCCTTGAAAATCCCTCACATTTAATAAATGTTATTCATAACACAAACACATTTAAAATGTAACATTTAAAATAGACATTTCCAAGAAAAAAATAACTTTCTCTCACTTTGGTTCTTTACTACATTGTATGATCAACATGAGGCCATGAATGCTAGTATCCCAGATGAAGAGAACTTTTATGGAGATTCAAACAGTAACTTATGTAAGGACAAGGAAATATTTTTTTTTGCAGTGCGGAGTACTAAATCCATCTTCCTGTGCTTGCTGTCGAACAAGGTAAAAGAGCATGCACGTTAATAAAAAACAGATTGTTAAGAACAGTTTTCACTGTATTGCAAGGAAATGTTATGACTTATGTGTTAGCTTGCGTTTTTTATCTTTATATTTCATGTCAGCATTGCATGCATTATTCTTAGGCTAAATTTTATTGATTTCTAAAAAAACTAATGCCTTTTTGTCAAGGAACAAATTTCAAGTTAATACTTAACTGTCATAAAGCTTAAAGTCTCTAGAAAGAAATCAAGTTTTTTTCTAAAGTGTTCTGGTCTGCACTCTCTCAAAGTCTGCTTCTCTAGAAGTTCCACTCCAGTACATTCAAAGCAGACCGAGATTCACAGTGATAATCATTTCATTGTTAGTTCACAGGAGGAGTGATGCTCTTACTCACATATTCAGAAAAATAAAATAGAAAAAATGATAGCCAAAAAGGACGTTAAATGCCTTCTTGCTTGTATTTAAATAGTATTAAACATTTATAAATACACTGTAATTTATGTTCTGAGTGGCTGCATCTGTATAGAGAAATGCATTAAAGTAAACTCCAGTATTTATTGCAGTTTTAAAGCCTTCTGGGATATAAATCACAATCCAATCTATTATTCTTCAAGATCTAAGTCAATTAATAAGCTATCCTGTAAATCTTAAAGCTTCTAAGATATAAGAAATATAAATATAATTAATGTACCTTCCTGTTCGGTTTGACAGTAAGCAGCCACCATGAGTACCGATGCGGAGATGGCTGCATTTGGCCCAGCCGCCATATACCTCCGTAAGCCAGAGAGGGAGAGAATTGAGGCACAAAACAGACCCTTTGATGCCAAAACCGCAGTTTTTGTGTCTGAACCCAAGGAGCTGTACCTCAAAGGTGTCCTCCAGAGTAAGGAAGGGGGCAAAGCCATCGTCAAAACTGAGAGTGGGCAGGTAGGTAGCATTTGCTAAGAGTAAAGGAAATTTCAAGGTTTTTACTTCATCTACTGCATTAATTATGAATAAACTTCTGATTTTTCAGACTTTAACAGTAAAGGAGGATGAAATCTTTCCCATGAATCCTCCCAAGTTTGATAAAATGGAGGACATGGCCATGATGACTCACCTCAATGAAGCCTCTGTGCTGTATAACCTCAAAGAGCGTTACGCAGCATGGATGATTTATGTAAGTGTTTCACTGAAGCCAAGACAAACCAATTCAATTTCAATTGACAAAAAAAAAATCATTAAGACTTAATTTCAAATACATGAATATCATTCTTCCAGACCTACTCTGGGCTGTTCTGTGCTACAGTGAACCCCTACAAGTGGCTCCCAGTGTACAACCCTGAGGTGGTGGCAGCCTATAGAGGCAAAAAGCGCATGGAGGCTCCGCCACACATCTTCTCTGTCTCTGATAATGCCTATCAGAACATGCTCACAGGTACGTAAATACTTATGTCTTACAGTTATCTATATAGATTTACTTGTTAAAACACTTTATTCAACTTTATGATCCAGTTAATCAATGAAAATATTTTCTTTCTAGATAGGGAAAACCAGTCCATCCTCATCACGTAAGTATTTCTATCATATTTTTTAAAATATGGCATTACTTTTTCATTATTTCTATTTTAAATAAACCTCTATTTATCCTCAGTGGAGAATCCGGTGCTGGAAAGACTGTGAACACAAAACGTGTCATCCAGTACTTTGCTACAATTGCAGCTATTGGGGACAAGAAGAAAGAGCAAACTAGCAAAATGCAGGTTAGACAGCACTGCTAATGGATCAAAACAGCTGAAGAGATCTTGGCTGTAACACATTGAGTGATGATCCCATGTACTTTGCAGGGAACTCTGGAGGATCAAATCATTTCAGCCAACCCTCTGCTGGAGGCTTTTGGAAATGCCAAGACAGTGAGGAATGACAACTCCTCTCGCTTTGTGAGTTAGTCTTCTATTAGTCTCACACAGTACCAGTTAATTTGTCAAATGTTTTACTGTAGTTTTCTAATATGTAATATTTGCATAATCAATAGGGTAAATTCATCAGAATTCATTTTGGAACCTCAGGAAAACTGGCTTCTGCTGACATTGAGACTTGTGAGTTATTTTAATTCTCAGTAGTTCACAAACATGTAGCTTACTCCCATATCTCTTCAGAATTTTAAAATATATATTTTTACTTCTATTATTTCACAGATTTGCTGGAGAAGTCCAGAGTAACATTCCAGTTGTCAGATGAAAGGAGTTACCACATCTTTTACCAGATCATGAGCAACCACAAACCAGAGCTTATTGGTAGGTGAAAGTTGATAATTCATATCACTTTGACTTTTCCTTAAAAACTATAGTTTGTGGCATATTTATTTCCTTTTTCCCCGCACAGAAATGCTCCTTATCACCACCAACCCCTATGACTTCCCCATGATCAGCATGGGCCAGATCACTGTGGCCAGCATTGATGACAAGGAGGAGCTGGTTGCCACAGATGTAAGTTCAAACTATATGAACAATAAGATTCTGGATGTAACATTTATTTGTATTTCAAAATGGAATGTTTACACTTAATCATACAGACTGCCATTGACATTCTGGGGTTCACTGCTGAGGAGAAAGTTGGCATCTACAAGCTGACAGGAGCTGTAATGCACCATGGCAACATGAAGTTCAAGCAGAAGCAACGAGAGGAGCAGGCCGAGCCTGATGGCACTGAGGGTAAAATGTATACTTATTTTACCCCCTCCATTCTTAATGCTCCAGTCAGACAAACTTAAATTATACTATAAAAGAAATGAATAAATATGCTCATTTAATAATTGAATCCTTAATTAATTAGTCAGATGTACTGTATAGTCAAATAGTCTTAGATTTTATATGATCTCTTATTCTTGTGTTATATTAAAGGTGTGTGGTGCAGTAAAGCAAATGATGTGAGGTGATAAACTGGTTGACATCAAACAATTTTAAACTCTTTGGTACACCTCTCGTTGCAAAAAGTGCTAATACAAAGGCTAGAAGTCATCTTAAGCAGCAGCTAGTATACAGTAAATCCAGATTTAACCTAAACATTATTTGTGTCCCCTCTGTTGCCTGGTCATGTGGATTGAGTGTAACACCCTGGTCATTTTACGTAGTTTCCATGCTATACAATTCATTGTGTATTCTAAAACAAGGCATGTACTGCTGTAAAATAGAGATAACAGAATAATAATGGATAACAGAAGTCTGTGTTTTGAGTATAACTATATTTTTATATGCTGTGACTATAATGAATGCATTTTTTGATATTCAGTTGCTGACAAAGTTGGTTATCTTACGGGCTTGAACTCGGCAGACCTGCTCAAAGCCCTGTGCTACCCCAGAGTGAAAGTGGGAAATGAGTTTGTGACTAAGGGACAGACTGTTCAGCAGGTATGATGTTTACTTCTAAACACATTGTCAGATTGATTTTCAAGAAATGAAAGTTGTTCTTTATCTAATAAGATAATGTGTTGATTTGTGAATCCTTTATTAGGTCAACAATTCAGTTGGTGCCCTGGCTAAGTCTATCTATGAGAAGATGTTCTTGTGGATGGTTGTCCGCATTAACCAGATGTTGGACACTAAGCAGGCAAGACAGTTCTTCATTGGTGTCCT